ATGGGGCTGCTGGAGGAGATGAAAGCGGCAGGGGTGCAGCCGAACAAAGTAAGGAACCGACACTCTTGACCCTGGAATCCAGAATATCCTTTGGGTTCTTTCTGAGGGCAAGTGTGCGTCCTCTAGATCAGGGACGGACGCGAAAAATTGGCACCAGGGATTCGGACCAAGTGGAAGCTGCATTATAAACGGTGCATATTATGGAGCTGCATTGCCAAGTGGGTCAGAAGGCTGGTCTAAAAGACAGCAAGATGCTCAGATCCATGGACCTTAGAATTTTGAACCCCTCCATTCCGAGCTATACTCATTTCTGAGCCGTTTCTGCAGGCCACGCACAGCGTGCTGCTGCGCATCTGGCCCGAGTGGAAGCTGCACTATGACGTGCTCAGCAGACTAGAGGGTGGTCTAAACAACAGCAAAGTCCTCAGACATAGAGACTCGGAACTCTCTTTTCTCAAATAAGAGATTTGTTGCAACAACTCTGTTCAGGCCACATACCGCGTGCTGCTGCAGATCAGGCCCGAGTGGAAGCTGCACTGCGACCTGCACCACGGCCGCGATCCCTCGAACAATATAGGCAGAATTACCCCTCAGTTTCTAACAACACAATCTTAAAGAACAGTGGAAGTTTGGAGCCTGAAACGAACTCCTCCCTGCAGGCCACGTACCGCGTGCTGCTGCGCATTCGGCCCGAGTGGAAGCTGCACTACGACGTGCGGCGCGGACTGGCGCTGTACGAGGAGATGCGCGGCGCTGGGTTTGCGCCCAACGACTCCGACTTCAAGAATCTCATGGACCGCTGGGCCGAGGAGCAGCTGGCCGCGCGAGCGCAGGAGGAAGAAAAGTAAGTGCGACCAAAGTACAGCTTGGGAAAATCATCGAGGTTCGTAAAGTTGGGGTCGTTTTGTGTTGGATGCTGTGCTCATTTGTGTACCGCTCCGATTGTCGCTGGAATGCTGCTACAGTCACCTGCACCACTGGCCTTTCGGGACGGAAGGCTGTATGTGTCGCTGCATAAGGTGAGACTAGATGAACCGTTTATGCAACAAAAAGGTGCCTCGATGCTTAGTTATTCAGGTGTTGCTTACGGGAACCGTCAGATGAGAGTGGGGTGTTTTGGGGAGCCTGGTTGTCAGTAGGCTTAAAATCCCTCACTGATTTCAGACGGACTGGCTAGTCAGTCCTGTGAAGGTGTGTCTCTGCGCCAACGGGCAGGACAGGCTTCTCTCTGTGCATCGTGATTAGACTCGGCTTTCGCATCTTTGACGACCAATTTTTGTGTAACAGCTCATGTCAGTATCTGCGTGTGCTCTTTTTGTAGTCAGACGCTTGTATTTGTTTCAAAACATCCTAAGTGCAGTCTCCACTTCTAGAGCTTGTACGCCTTGATTGCTGCCTTCTAATCAGTTTCTTCCCCTCTCTCGAGCGTCCTTCCATACAATTGACTAGTCTTTGTCTTCTGTGCTGTCGCTGTCCTCTGCATTGTCCTTTGCACTGATCCCGCAGGGCCGCGATGGCACTTGCCAAGAACGAGCGCTTTTTCGCTAAGCCCACCCGCCGCAAAGTGACCCACTACCTCTGTGCATGCTTAGTCACCTTGTCTTTTCTGAAAAGTATAATCTAGATTCATCTTCTGCAGCTCTGCTAGGGCACCTGCCGAGAATGACCACTTTCCTGCTAAGCCCACCCGCCAAAAGCGATCCACTAACGCTGCCCATGCCCATCACCTTGTTTCAACCTGTATGATCCTTCCTATTGAGGAACAATTGTATTCATCTGCAGGTCTGCGTCGACACCCGCCGAGGACGAGCGCTCCGCTGCTAAGCTCGTACCCGCAGGCGAACCCGCGCGGCCGCCCATGTTCCTAGACCTGGTGATGCGCAAGGGCAGCAGCGACACGGCCGAGACTGAGGAGCTGACCATCGACCTGCACGGCCTCAGCAGAGTGAGGGGCCCTCTCTTGACGCATCATTTTGAAACCTTTGCGATCCTGAAGGGGCAAAGGTGAGACACGGTCTGATGAACGACAATCCCCTTGCAAATTCTTCCGGCCATGTAAGTCGTGCGGATTTTGCGGAGAGAGGGGGTCTGCGCAATAATGGTACCGTCTGCCTATCGTAAAGAGCTGAGCGTTTACCATGATTGCAGCTTTTAGGCACGGTTTTGTGATCCGCATTCGATTCGCAGATTCTCAGAAGCTGGTGTTGTTGCTAGCCCTAGCGAAGTGTCCATCAAAGTGTAATAGCAGAAGTGCCGAGATTTCCCTACTCTTTTCTTGTTTGGTAAATCAGATTGATCCAGCAGCTGTCCTCTTCCGGACTAATGGAATCGAAGGGTTTCACTTTTCGGTGAAAGTATGGGCGACCGACGAGCACGCCAGCCCTGTTGACTTGCGGGCTTCAAACATACTCCTCAATTTGCCATCCCCTCAAGCTCTAGGCCGTTAGCTCAATACTATCCTCTGCTTTATCAGTGTCAGAAACCGTAGAAACCATACATCAGTGGTCGGCGAAACTGACACTTGGCGTCCTGTTGTGCAGCCTGAAGCCCGCGCCGCTGTGCTGTCGCTCCTGAGAATTCTGCAGCTGCGGCATGCCCAAGGTGACAATCTGCTCTTAAGCTCAACATTACTCGGTTCCAAAATGGGCTTTGAGAACCGTCTGACGTAAGCCTGCTTACGCTGGCGGCGCCAAATTCTCAACGATCACAATTTCCTACAGCATTCTGTCGGATCTCGGCACCGTGTGATTCCGTTGTCCATGCAGGGCAAATCGAATCTACTTTTAGAAACAAACCTTGCGCCAAGATTACGGAGCGTGATGTCGCCCTCAGAGTATCAACCACAAGACTGCCTTGTCATCGCGGTTTTGCTTTCTGTTGCGTTTCGCTTTCGTTTATTGGCCCTTTTTGGGGCTTTCGTTATGGTTGGCCGATATGTTTGTGCTAAGCGCAAGCGGCCAATCTCTTGAACCACTCCCAATTTGACCCGTCTTTTTCTGTTACACCATTGTCTGAATGCAAAGATCGCAGACCCGAAGATTGCCTGACCATTTCCCGGTTAGGGCTTCGAATTGGCACGTCTTTTGATGTTCAGGACTGGCCACTCGACTTGTAGGCGATCGGCGCGCTGTATCAGGTTTCCTGTTAATCTGCCTCTTAGTACTCAATTGTTCGTTCATCCATCGTGTTTTGTCATGCAGGCTGGAAGGTTCAAAGCGACCTGACAATTATCACCGGCCGGGGGATCGGGAGCCGCATCACGGGGATCCCCGTGGTACGCACCGCAGTCCTAAACCTGCTCAAAGAAGAGCTCGGGTTCCCCGTAATCGCCTGGGAACCCAGCCCCGACCTAGACGACCTAAACCTCGAAAGCCTCAACCTTCGGAGCATCGGCGCGCGCGCTCTACTAGGCCCTGGGGAAGCGAACCGGGCTGCCCTTGAGGGGCGGAAAGAGGTCGGGGGCGGGGCCTCCGAGGAGATGGAAACGAGTCAGAAACTAGGGGCGGGAGGGAAAAGCGACCCGGCGCGGGAGCTGATGGCTGAGGCGATGACGGCGATCGCGGGGCACAACGAGGTTGAGGTGAATTCGTTGCTGGTGCACGGGTTGGGCAAACCGGGGGTCATGAAGCCAATCGCGGACGAAAGGGAGGGGAGCCGGGACAGGGAGGCGGCGGAGCGGGCGAAGGCGGAGTTGACCGACGCGCTGTTACGGGAGGTAGACGACTCGGGACCGCTGCATGAATCGGAATCCGCAGGAACGCATACCAGCGGAAGTGAAGCGGCGGGGGCGGATGGCGATGAATTGGCCGAGGCACAGCTGTCAGGAAGTGACGGGTCGGTTCTTCTTGCAGCAGATGGGGAAAACCGGTACTCTTCAGAGAGCGGGTGGTCACCGGGGCCGTCCGATGACGCGTCTGAGAACGAGGGTTCAGATGACGAAGAGGAAAAAGGCTCGGAGCGTCGACGGGGAGATTATAGTGCGGCGGACTCGTTGCCGGAGAGCTTCAAGCGGATGCCGCCCGAGCTGCGCGAGCGGCAGCTGCAGCGGCTGAAGGACGCGGAGCGGTGGCGGCAACTAGAGGAGGAGCTTTATTACTTGGGGCCGTATGGGCAGCGGTTGCTGTACACGAGGCGGCGGTTGAAGAACCAGGGCAGGATTGTGGTGCCGAAAGATGCATTGCTTGCGTGGGTAGAGGGGAAGCGGAAGCACGGGCGACAGAGGAGGGGAAAGGATGCGAAGCAGGCACAGGGCCGGTAGTCTTGGCCGGTAGTCTTCTGAAACGCACCATGGTTTCCAGGGGGCGATATCTCTTGTACACTCTCATACCGAAACCAAGCACGCCACGTCGGTGGGCGCCACAATCCAAGTTGTTGTCGAGGCTAACGGTCGTCACCATGCTTTCCTGTCAGCCTGATTGATTTTGCATGACCATGTTCAACGGATTACTAAACCTGCTCATGCACTTGATTCGTCATACAATCGTATATGAGGGCCTGCTCATTTAAGCCAGGCCGTGCAATTGCACACTGTCGCGTGCGCGGTAAATGTTTCAATACATTATCCCACGTCAGTACTACATTTGTGCTATACATATACGCGCGCATGCACGTACTAACTAACCAGCTGCACGCGCATTAATTGAAAGGACACGCGATCGGTATTCGAATGTGACACATGTGATTAGTACATGCATACGTGATGCAAGTTAATGGTTTGATAAAGATTGGCGCGTTCACAATCAGAACGGCATTGGGCACAATGATGCCCCTGAAATTATCTGACTCCAAGCTGACCATGCCGCGTTTATTCACGGCACGCATTATTGATCCTCATGCAGCTAGGACCAGATAATAGCTTCAAATTTTGGCGCTGGCTTAGTAGCTATGTCAGGGTTTGGTAGTTCAAGTGGGGGCACTGTGCGAAACACAGAGCCTATCTATCATGCTCAATATGTCCGGACAGCGACCGGCCTGATCCGAGGGCAAGACTGTACCCGGCCTTGTCGAGCCCACAGCTAGGTATGTAGAGCTGGGCGAGAGCCACCAATCAGGTAGCACCTACTGGCATATGGTTTCTTGATTGTCCAACGGTGCAAATACAATTTTCATGTTAAGACAGGCACATTTGGGATACTCTTGGCTGGCTGCCGAAAGTAGCCACTACGATAACAGATTGGGACTTTGGTATGATTGCTATCCTTCACCATTGTTTCTTTGGTTCCACACGTACATCGGCCCCATCCTGTTTAAACTCGTGTTACGCTTTGGCCTCACTCGAAGATGCTGATACCCATCCCCACTGCTCCAGCACCTTCCCAAGTGCCGCCCATGCCAAAGTCGTCCAATACCGGACCGACGTTCTCATCTGCGATGCAAGGCACGTTGCAGGTTGAGTGCTCATAAAAAAGAAGTGACAACCAAAGACAGTCCGACAGCGTAAGACGGTCCTCAAAAGCGATCTGGCTTGCCTCGCTTTCGAACGAGAGTTCGGAGCACTTTGAGTGGTATTGTGCGCCTTGAAACCT